CCAATGCAGGAACACAGAGAAGCAGAGAAGCTGATTTTATAATCTGTCCTTTTTCTTTATACTTTCCCATCAACCTGACATACACAAGCTTGCAATTCCCCAGTACATAGTCACTTGCATAAATGAGTGTAATATGAATTCTCCTTCATATTTCTTCTCCAGTTTATCAATCAAAGTACTGCTTGACCTTGCCAATTTATCTTATTTAGCTCTGTAATATTGTCATCTTGCCTTAGGATTTATGACCTAGGTCCCTTCTGTCCTTTTCATCTTTTCTTTATAGGTTTTCCTTTTCGTCCAGTTTTAGGGTAGATTATTACGCATCTTTGGAAACAACTCTTTGATCAATAAACTCTTTTCAGAGACACTGACATCTTTGTACAGTATCTAAATTTTTCATGAAATATTTAGCAGATGTGCTGAGGGTAATCTGAGATTCTATCTTAGATAAGAAAGCAGGATTCCTAGAAAGCTAGGGCTCTCTCACAGTCTATTATGATTTAGGTATAGAGCGCTTCATTGTTTCAGCCTTAAAAACTTAACTAAAGAAAAGATGTTGTCTCCAGGTGATGATGTTACTTCAGTCTGGTCTTCATATCATCGAAGTTATGGCAGAAACAGTAGTATTAAGAGATTTATTGCAAGGAATTAGTTACCCAATTGTGGGAATTGCCAGGGTAAGTCCTATATCCATAGAGCAGGCAGTCAGGAGGGCAGGTTGGAATGTTGAGGCATGAGCTCAAGTTACTATTCATAGGTGGAATGTCATCTTCAGGAAAGATTCAGTTCTGCTCTTAAAGCCTTTCACCTGAAATAGCCCACCCAGATTACTAGGATTATCTATTTAAGTCAAATGATTATACATATTCATTAAAATCTGCAAGATACCTTCACAGTAACATCTAGATTAGTTTGATTGAATAACTGGGGGCTTACAGACTAGCCAAGATGACATATCAAAAGATCATCACACTTTATTCTTAGATTGATATTCCTAATACCACTGGTATAATTTAGCTGGAAGAATGAAACATGCATTTCTTCTTTTAAAAAGTCAGAACACTTATGAAAACATAATTAAAAAAATATGAAATCTTATTTCAGATCAAGAAAATGAGCGGTCCTTTTATTAAACTGGTAATTAATAAATGTTTTTTATTTTATTACTTTAGGATTCAATAAAATATGTATAAAACGCCTCTGGCATGCCTCAATAATGTAAGAGCATGTGTCACTTCTTTTCTAAACCTTCCTGCAACAGTTAAATGCAAACCAAATTTGGAAAACCATGTTTGTTAGAATATATTCTTCTTCCACTTTACAGTAAGGAAAAGTGGTAGAAACAGATATATGTAAAAATTTAATTATTCAGGACTCTTTTTTTTCTGGTTAGTTCAGAAGGAGGTCTCTTTATTTTTAATTTGTTTTTGTTTAACTTTCTTTCCTTTTAGAAAGGAAACAAAGCAGTTATTTTGCAAACAACAAAATTTTCTCTCCTCAGTTTTACAGATGTTATAATTGACAAATAAAATTATATAGGTCTACAATGTGATGATTTCATATATGTATATATAGTGAAATGATTACCAGAAACAATTTAGTTAACACGTTTATCACCTCACATAGTTTTTTTCTGGTGAGAACATTTGCAATCTACTATCTCAGCAAATTTCAAATATACAATATAGTATTGTTAATTATAGTAATTATGCTGCATATTCATCTTATAGCTGACTTTTGATTAAAATATAGCCACTTTTATATTTTATCTGAAATGAAATCTTGTTCAAAACATAATAGAACAGAACAATTATACCCCTAGATATCTATTCCCAAAAACACCCATGTAGAATATATATACATATATACATATACATATATTTATCAAAAGATATACAGGAATATTTATATTCATTACTACAGTACAAATGTGGGATTAAGACTGTCAGGCAATGTTGCTTTACTGGGGACACATTTGTAAGATTTCACAGAAACTGAGAAAGTGTTAACCATGATCTTAGAGGTGATAGCCTCCTTTATATTTTATATTATTTATATTTTCATAAAAATATATATTTATGAAATACAATTTATTTATATTTTAATAGCCTCAAACTGGAAATTATCTAAATGTCATTAACAATAGACTGTATACATTGTAGTAGATCCAAACAATGAAATATGAAACAGCAAAGGTAATGAATGGGTCACAATTATAAGAAATAGTAAGGATGAATATTACAAACATAATGTTGAGGTATGAACATTATGAAGTTAAAATGAAAATAGGCAGAAATAAATGGACACTGTATAGTTACATTTACGTAGAATTCAAAAGATCAAAATAAATCTATGCTGTGTAAGGGAGGACAGCAATTACCCTCGTGGGCTGTGACTTGAAGGGTGCGCAACTGGATCTGCTGGGGTGGTAATGCTGTGGTTCTGGATATGGATTCTACTACAGGGGTATAATCAATTTGTTATAAAAAGAATCATTGATTTGCACACTATGTGCACATTTATGAATACACATTTATGTCAATAAAAAATCTGAAGAACCAAACATATGTTGGAGCATCAAGAAAACCAGTGTGGTACTATTCAGGCTCCCTCTTGGAGCTCCTGCTTCCTCTTGAATTTCCAAAGAAGCTTGAGGGCTTTTAGAGTCCCAAAGTAGAGAGGAAGGGAGAGGAGGGTCATTACATTTTGTAAACACAGTAGGAAATGCCTTTTTTTTTTTTTTTTGAGTTGGAGTCTCACTCTGTCACCCAGACTGGAGTGCAGTGGCCACTTCCGGCCACGGCAGCCTCACCTCCTGGGCTCTGGCGATCCTTCCGCTCAGCCTTCCGAGTAGCCAGAATTACAGGCATGCGCTACCACGCCTGGCTGATTTTTTGATTTATTGTAGAGATGAGGTCTCACTGCCCAGGCGGGTCTCGAACCCGCGGGCTCAGGCAATCCACTCACCTCAGCCTCCCAAAGGCGCGGGATTACAGGCTGAGCCACCGAGCCTGGCTGGAAATGCCTTTTTGACCAGCGCATTGTATCAGTTACTTTCCAGGAAATGAGACCAAAATAAGATACTCTTCTACCATCAATCCAAGTGAAATTTTCACCTGGATGCCCAGGACGCGTTCCGACAACTATTTCCAGAGAACCTGCTTTGTCTCTGGCACTGTGTAAGGCACAGGGAAGCAAGGCCCAGATCCAGCATCTATACTCTTCTCAAGACATCACCACAGCACTTAGGATCCCTTCTCTCCAAAGGGCACAACTGGCTCTACACGTGGTTGTGACCCCAGAGACCCGCTCCCACCCTCCTGTTCCTCTGTCCGGCAGCAGCTGTCAGATGCCTGAACCCTTCCCTTTCCAGAGATGATCTGTTTGACCCCACTACAGTCCCTGCTCCTCTTCTTTGTCCTCCTATCCCAAAGCCCCCGGCTCTGAGGTATAGGCCTGAGAGGTTTTGTTAGTGGCTGAACCCAGGACTTTGATGGGTCTTTTGTTTGGATTTCTTTTTCATATTCTTTCACTCTCTTCTTTCTATCACCAAACCATTCAAGTAGATGTGGGGTTGGGGGCAGGAGTTTTAGAGGAGGTAGGCTGGTCAGACAGGAAGATGAAACCCACAGTTCAGTATCACTCGTTGCTGCCATGTTCTCTTCTCACCTCCACACAAAGTCCCCCTCACCTTGGCTGACAGGATATTTCGTCCTCTGCAGTGGAAACTTCTGGAAGAGACAGACTGGGTCTTTTCTTTCTAGTACTCATGGCCTTACCTGCTGAGTTGGAGCCCATAGACACACATTCCTCCAGGCTCAAAACCTCTTTCTCATAATTGAGGATATGGTCAAACCCACTGCATACACACACCCCTTTTCTGTTATCCCTTAGTGGATGCAATATTTACTCTTCTGGAAAAGTCAGAAACAATTTGCCCAAGAAAGAGTCATCTCAGAAAGGAATGATATTAAAAGAGTATGTTCCAAGGGGTATAGGAGTTTGCCAATTGAGAAGAACACTGAAAGCACCCAGCCTTTACCCTCTGGGACAGGGAGTTCTAAGAACTTTGATGTTACTGTCAACCCACTGAGAACATGAACAGAAGGTGTCTGAAGTCTGTGGAGGTTAGAGATGCGGAGGTTCAGAGGACTGTACAAGCCCCAGGAGATCTTTGTCTTTCAAAACCAGGAATTCCCTCATAGTGAGGAGGTAACACCCTCCCCTTGCCCCACCCCACCAGGGCAGTGATCAGAGCCTCAAATGCCTTCTATTATCACAGTGGCTGCTATGGGAAGTTACACAAGAGACTCCTGATCTGGGTTTTCAGTCAAAGGTCAAATATTTCAAATGTATGTGTGTGTGTGGGGGGGAGTGGGGACCAGATTGGAAAAACATGTGCAATGTTAAAAACATATCAGTAGTAATCATATTCAGGGATGTCAAATATTTCAGGACTAAAGAATAAGGACTCAGTGGGATAGATTGGACCACAATTTTTCTTTTTTAGGAAGCTCTTTGCAAACCATGCAAAATATAATAGAGATTGCTTAGAGATAGAGAAGAGGCAAAAAAAAAAAAAAGAAAAAAAGTTAAGTCGCATAAGGCAGAAACACATAATGAGACCCTGTCTCCAAAAAAATAAAAACAAATATTTGCCAGGTGTAGTGATGTGCACCTGTAATCTCAGCTACTCAGGAGCTGAGGCAGGAGGATTGCTTGAGCCAAGGAGTTTGAAACTGCAGGGGAGCTATGATTGCACCACTCCAGTCTGAGACAGAGCAAGACCCTGTCTCTTAAAAAAAAAAAGAAAGAAGGCAGAAGCATGTTGTTTTTTGGTTGGTCTGGATGAGTTTGGGCCAAAATATAAGGAGTCTGCTTCATAAAGCAATCTAGGGCAGGGTTAGTGATGGTGAAGTGACTTCCCTGCTAAAGCTTTCTTGCTGGGATGCTGATGTCTCTGCAGAGATTAAAAAGAGGTAGGGTCTGTGGCTGAGCGTGGCCATGTCTTGAGAGAGCCAGCAAGAGTCAGTGGATCCCTACCACCCCATCTTCAGTGGACAGAGGGTTAGAGGAGCTGCATTTCCTCCTCTATCATTGAAACCTGGACTGAAAAAGGGGCGCACAGGTCCCGTGAAGGCACATTCAGAGAAGGTGTGGATGAGGGAGCCATGGTCATTGATGTTGTAGAAGGAGACAGTGCCAGCCTCATAGTCCAGGAAAATCCCAACTTGACATGGAGGCACCTGAAGGTGGAGGGGAGTCTGGGGGCAAGTGCTGGCCTCATAGTTTTGTTTGTTCCACAACCAAATCACCCAGAATCCACTTCTGGAGCTGCACAAAAATTGCCCCTTCCTCTGTACAGAGTCCAGGCAGACCCCCAGGTCCCAGGCCTCCTTTCCTGTTACATCTACCTCCCAGTAATGTTTTCCGGAGTTGAAGCGTTGGGTACCTAGGACCATGGGATAATTTTCAAATCTCTCTTCATTTTCAGGTACTTCCGTCCGTGTGTTTCCAAGCCTCACTTGTCTCCGATTCTCTGAGAAGATGAGCCACGGGTTTGCTGTGTCTGGATCCAGAGTGATGCGGACTGAGGAGAGAGGACCATGATCAGGCTTTGGGTATGTGGGGATGGGGGACGGGAGACCCTGAACCTCACCGTGTGAGGAAACAACCCTCAGTCAGCTCTGGCCTTTGCCCTGATCTTTGAGGAAACCATCTTCCCCTCCTCTGTCTCTGCCCCACCTGCTCTGACCTGCCATCTCTCCACAAACTGCTGTCTGTTCTCCCTGACCATGGGATCCACTCCGCACCCTCGTTCTCCCCTGCAGCTCCAGTCCCACAATGCCTAGAGCTCACCTCACCTCCATATGACCTCAGCATCTGCTTTAGCCCTGGTACATGGCACACATTCCTCAGGTCTGGAGAGGCAATGTCTGGCTCCTTCAGGTTCCAGGCCTCACTCCTGAGGGAAAGAGAGTTTGAGACCACTATCTCCCACACCTACCTCAAACCCTAATGCTACAATCGCCTTTATGGTGGACTCTGATAATTTAATTCAACTCAAATTTACAAACACCTCTTGTGTTCAGGTCTCTGGGGGTGAGGTGGGAGGCAAAAAATAAAATTTAGTTTATATCCAGGAATTTCTGGTTATAGAAGGCTTTGCAGTCCATAGACAGACTGTACCCATCTCCAAGATCACCAGGTAAGTATATTTTCTTTCATTTTACAGGCAAAGGATCTGATACAGGCTGACTCACTCTTGTAAGGAACCACAAGAAGTCTCACTCACGCCATAGGTCCCACTCATGGCTCCTTCTGGGAGGTCTGTAACTGGTTATACTTTATCTAAAAAAAGGAGTCCAAATAGGCTGTAGACCCAGGACTTCCCAGAATTTCTGTTTGGCAGGGCTTTACCGTGTGAAGATATCACAGTTCAATTATCTGGGTAATTCACCAACCGAGTTGTCCATTTATTAGCCTTCTGAGACCATAAAATATTATAGAGGTTCAGGTCTTTGAGAATAAGGAGGTGAATGAGGAAAACTTCAATGCATATATTTCTAACTCAGTAACCTTTTTCATAGGCATATATGCTTCCTGCCACCCCCCTCTCCTAACACAGAAAAGCTCTCCTTACCTTTCCAGGACAATTCTCACCTCCTGAGGAGAAAAGAGACAGAGTAAGTTCTGGAGTTGCTGTTTTGCCACTAAGATGTCAGTCCTGTGGGTGACGTTATCCACCCTGTGGTCCCTGTGGTGCTGTTCTTCCCCTTCCTCTGGGTCAGGGCCCAGAAGATGACTCTGACCAGCTTGGAGCAGAAAGGCTGTTTGGATGCTTGTGGGGTAATCAGAAACCCAGCCTGGGTGCGATTGATAGCTAGGGAAGGATAATCATTTTAAGGTCTCTGACTCAAAAGACTAGATTCTTGGGGGAGGGAGATGGAGGGAAGGGGGTGGATGAGGGCAAATAGCCCAGCCTGGCTGAAGCCCAGAAACTGCTCTGTCTCTGTTGTGGGCTTCAGTTGTCTGGGAGGAAGGGCTGGTTAGTTAAAGCTCTTCTTGTGCTGTGATTAATGTTATCTCCTCCTGTTTGTGAAATCAAATAACCTGAGAATAACCTATTGCAGGGGTTAGGGCCCCCACATGGAGCTGGCAGGCTACTAGGCCTGGTCAAAAAGTACATTAGAAAGCTAGGTTCCGTGTTGGGCAGAAAAGAGCCTGCCAAGTCAAGCCTATACAATTAGCTTTTTACACAAACCAAAAAGAAAAGGCTTCATGACCACATAACTGAGAGACATGAAAAGGTGTGGGAAAAGAATGGTGGAATGTTAGCAAAAGGGACTTCTGGGACCATGTAGTTCATATTTTCCCAAAGTGAGGCAAACATGTCACTGGTTGATGTGAGATGATTTTAAGTAGAACATATGGGGTCTGACACTTAAGTTCACAAACTCATCTTAGAAAAAGTGCTACTACTTCATTGCTGAATATCACTATGGTCACCTTTGAAGTACTTTCATTGGAAGGTATGCACCAACACCACTGCCTAGTCCACCCATCAAAGCAATTTTGGAACTCTTTTTCTAGAATGGCATCAGAATTGTCATTGTATTACCCTTGATGTCCTGAATGTTGTCAAAATGTCTTCCTTTCATTATTTACTTTATCTTTGGGTAAAGAAAAAAGTCATTGGACCAGATCAGATGAGTAAGGAGGGTGTTCCAATACAGTTATTTGTTTACTGGCTAAAAACTCCCTCAAAGACAGTGCTGTGTGATCTGGTGCATTGTTGTGATGCAAGAGTTCCTTCAGGAACACCTTTCTCATGCCAAGATTTTCAGTTAAGATTTTCTGCTTGGTCTGTTATGCTGCTCACTGTCAGCTGACAATTTTGATGCTCAAGTTGATGAATTTTTGTAATGTTTTCATCAGTTCTACTTGTTATTCTGACGTCTCTTCATCAGTGATGCTTTCTCTATCCTCAGAAAAACATTTAATCCATTTGTACATTGCCATTTTCTTCATGGCATTATCCCTATAAACTTGGATTAATATGTCCCTGATTTCACTTCCACGCTTGCCAAGTTTAACAAGAAATTTGATGTTTGTTCATTTCTCTAATTCAAACTCTGACATCCTCGTGATGACGGCTCTAATAGCCATTCCAGAAAAGAGTTCCAAAACTGCTCTGACAGGTGGATTAAGCACTGGCATCAGTGCATAGCTTCCTAAGGGGAGTACTTTGAAGGTGACCATAGTGATGTTCAGCAATGAGATATGCAGCACTTTTTCTAGGATGAGTTTGTTAACTTAATTATCAGATCTTGTACATGGACAATTTTTTAAAAGTCATGTACTTATTTTAATTTTAACTTTATACCTTACTATTTGGGTCAAATTATTTATCCTTAGTCTCTTAGTAAGTCTCTTAAAATTTCTGTGACTTATTTTTCTCATCTGTGAAGTGGAGGTAATAACACCACCCACATGGAATTTTGGTGGATAATATGGGCTATTTAAGAATTTGCCTTTGACAAAGCCTCCACTAACAACCACTGGGGAAAGTGAACTTATTCAGTAAATGGTGCTGGAAATACTGGCTGACCACATGCAGAAGATTAAAACAAGACCCCTACCTATCACCATACACAAAAATCAACTCTATATGGATCAAACACCTAAACGTAAAACTTCCAACTATAAGAACCTTAGAAAATGCAGGAAGCACTGATGGAAATTGGAACTGGCAACCAATTCCTGATAAAAACACCGAATGCCAACGCCATAAAAGATAAGATAGAGAAGAGGGACCTCATCAAATTGAAAAGCTTCTGAAAAGCAAAAGAAACCATCAAGAGAGCGGGCAGACAGCCCACAGAATGGGAAAAAATATTTGCCAACTGTATATCTGACAAAGGCCTAACATCCAGGATCTACAAGGAATTCAAACATGCTGAAAAGAGAAAAACCAGGCAGCCCTATTACAAAGTGAGCAAAAGATATGAATAGACACTTCTCAAAAGATACAAGCAGCCAACAGATCACAAAAAAATGCTCAACCTCACTAATTATCAAAGAAATGCAAATTAAAACCACACTGAGTTACCACCTGACTCCGGTCAGGATGGTCACAATCAATAACTCAAGAAACAACAGATGCTGGAGAGGATGTGGGGAAAAGAGAACACTTTTACATTGTTGGTGGGAGTGTAAACTAATACAACCTCTGTGGAAAACAGTTTGGTGAATCCTGAAAGACTTAAAAATTGACCTTCCATATGACTCCACAATCCCCCTTCTGGGAATATACCTGAAGGTACTCAAAACACTCTTTGAAAAAGATACTTGTACATGCATGTTTGTTGCAGCATTATTCACAGTAGCAAAAGCATGGAACCAACTGTGCTGTCCATTGAAAGGGGACTGGATAAAAAAATGTGGTACATATACAAGATGGAATACTACACAGCCATAAACAAGGACAAAATTACGAACTTCACAGCAACTTGGATGGACTTAGAGTCTATAATACTGAGTGATCTATCACAGAAACAAAGAACTGAGCATCACATGTTGTCACTCACAAGTGGAACCTGAACAATTATCATAATACTATAAGAAAGGGATTGGCAGTTGTGGGAAACTGCCAGGGGAGCGAGGCGGGTGGCACACCTCATCAATAAGGGTACCTGATCTCAAAACAGGAGAAGTGGGGACCAAAGTGAGGCCCAAACTTTACCTACACAATGACCATTTGTATACCTAGCCCTGAATGATACCCTGCATCTCTAAAATAAAAGAATAAAAAATAAAAAAAAAAGAATTTGCAGTGAATATTATTATAGATATAAATTATAAAAAATATCAGTTAACATAGCAACACATGATTTCTTAGTTTCCATTGCTTTGGAAAAATTTCCTTTAAAACGAAGTTTATTCAGGGGAAAAATAAGACAATTTAAAGAATTATAACACATTAAAATTACTTAGGTAGTTCACAGAAGTAGCAGAAAGCATTAAGAGGATACATTTATAACTAAAGTCTAGGGAATCCTTGATATTTAGTTCACTCCTTCTCTCATTTCACAAATGGAGAAATTAAGTCTAGCAAAGGAAAATTACTTAACCTAGAGAGTTATGGAGAGAATTGGTGGCTGGGTTGGGGCTTGGCCACTGTCTCTTAATTTTTAGTTAATTTAGTTAATTTAAATTTTATATTAAATCAAAACTTTCCCATGGCCAGATGCTCATTTAAGACTCTTAGTGGATTTTCTCATTTAATCTTCACAAAAATCCTTTGGAATATGTAATTTATAATATCCATTTAACAGACAACAAACTGCTTAGAAAGATTAAGGAACTCTCTTGAGATCCCAAGCCAGCACTTAGCCAGCACTTAGAAGGGAGGGTCATTTTTGTTAACTGCTAAATGGAATACTCCCTCCTAAATCTGTACCTCTCTAGGTCACCTGATGACAGAGGATTACTCCTTTTGTTTTGAATGCAAACCACTTGTGGTCTGAATTCCAGTTTATTTAAGACCAGGTTTCCGTTTTTTCAAACAGCAGTTCCAGGTAGCTCTGGCCCTTTTTAGTTGCTCCTTGAATCTCAGAGGTGACACGCCTCTCCAGTCTCACCTGCAGCAGCTCCAGTGATGACCCATGACGCCTCCGCTCCAGCTCTGAAATGAGCTCCTGCAAGGCCTGGGTCTGCTGGGTCACCTCGGCCTCTCTCTCCCCCAGGAGTCTCAGCTGTTCCCTCTCCTCCTTCTCCAGTTGCTGCAGCTGCCTCTGTTCTTCTTCAACCAGGAAGTTTTTTTGCTGCACAAACTCTGCATGAATTCTAGATTTCTGTATCTCCACCGTCCTCTTTGGTGTCAAGGGCAAGAGAGAGGTGGTTTTTATTAAAATTCCTAAGCTTTTGGGGTGGAGGTGGAGGTGGAGGTCTTTTTCCATCCCCTGGCAACTCCCCACTCTGGTGCTATCTGGGAATAAACACACACACACACACACACACACACACACACACACACACACACAATTTTGCTAGGGAGGTAGGTGGGTGAGGAGGCTTCTGGGACTGAGAGGGGAATGAAACTGGTGAGGGGCACACCATAGGTAGCCTATAACCATAGCTGTATAAACCTATGGAATCAGAAACTTTTTTCAAATTCTTCCCAAACCCAGTCACCACTCAAATGTGTCTCTTTGTCTTCTAGTCTCAGCGAGTTACCAAGAGGGTAACAGCTGTTCCTACCCCCAACAACCTCATAAAGACAGGCTCACAATACCACATCTAAGTCCTGAGAGAAAATGGCTTTGGGACATACTTTGCTTGTCCTCTCTTGCTAGTAACTGAAAGTTCACCCGATGATACAGGATTGCTCCTGTTGCCACTGCAATCTGACTCGCCCTTCCCCAGTCCCAAATCTTCCTCTTCTGGGATCTACTGGCCACAAGCTCCTTCTACTCCTTTCTAATCCCTGACATAACCCACCACTACTTGTAAATCAACAGTGCTGAGCAAACTTTGGTTCTCCATTATATTTTGGACTAGTGATCTGGACATGGTCAAGTTACTACCAAGTCAGATGGGTTTTCCTGACTCAGGTCTTGATGGTTCCCTTAAGTCTAGTCCTCACAGCCCTTGTCATTTCCTGAAAGGCCTAGTAGTTGGGCTTCTCTCCTGGTACACCTCTGTCCCAGACACCGAGGTCCTGATGCTGTCATTCCCTGTGTCTGGGCTCGGAGAAGTGGGGAGTTTTAGGTTGTGGCATGACCCTTTTTAGCACCTTCTATGATTCTTGATCTTCATGGCAGATGGGGAGCTCTCCTTTGAGCCTCCATCCTTTTTATTTCCCAGTTTGGAGACCTAGAAGGTGGCTGGTTCTTGGAGGGTGAATACCAACCCTATCACTCCTCAAACAGGCACAACTACGGTTAAGGCTGTGTGAATCCAGGACCCTGAACCTGCCCAGCCTTCTGACCTAAGATCTCCTTAAGGATGTAATTCTTGCCTTCCAGTCTGCTCTCTTCATTGCAATGTTCAGTTCCAACTTCTCAGTCATCTCCTGCTTTCTTTTTAGTTCCTCTAATGCCACCTGGAGCTTCTCCTGCAGTGAAAGATAGCAGGTTAGTCTCCAGCCAGACTAAGTAGTAGAGTGAAGTAATCCTTGCAGCATTTTCCCATCCATGTCCCCTGCTCCAGGAGAATGAGAAGGTTGTGTTTAGTCTTCAATTCTCCCCTCATGTTAGACATGGAAGGAGGGACACCCCTCTGTTCCTCAACCCCTCAACTCCTTAGGGGACCCTTTCCCATCCCCACCTCTGGGGAGCAATGGCCTCATCAGGGCCCATCTCTTTCTTTCTGTTTGTGTCTTTGTCTGAGGCCTCACCTGGTACTCCTGAACAGCCTCCTCAATAGGAATCATGGAGTGGTCACGGTGTTTCCGAGATTGAGCACACACCCAGCAAAGGGCCTTTCCGTCGACCTCACAGAACAGGTGAAGTCTCTCTCCATGCACCACACACCGCTCCCCCTGTGCGCCCTCCCTGGCATTCTCACTGATTTGTTTAAGGTTGTCTACCATGTTGGCCAGTTGCCGGTTGGGCCGGAGGTTCTTGAGCAGAAAGCGGTTCCGGCACACAGGACAGACGCTGCCCCCGTCTTTCCCAACCTGAGAGATGCATTCTTGGCAGAAGTTGTGGCCACATTCGATGCTCACAGGCTCAACAAAGGCATCCAGGCAGACAGAGCATGTGACCTCCTCCCACATCATTGCCAAAGACATTGTGGAGACCTTGAGGGGACTGGTGGGGAAAGCAGAAAGGAAAAAGAGAAGATGAGAAAGTTTGTGTGAGAAGACAAAAAACAATGCAGAGGAAAACATGAGAGAGAGTGAAAAGATAAGAACATCAACCTGAATAACAAGAACTTCTCCTCCACAGTCTGGTCCGTTGATGCAGTCACACAGAAGGAGACACTGAGTCACCAAAAGAGGCAAGGAAAATTGATGAGAACCTCAGAGACAAAGCTGTTCACAATTTTACTCTTATTATGTCCATTTCTGCTTAAACCCTCCGTGTCTGTTCTTTGCCCATCCATCTTCTCCTGTCTCATGCCACCAGGCCTCTGTGTTGCTGAGAAGCAAATCATAGGACTAGTGACCATCTACCATGCACCTTCCTTGGGTCAGAGTTGCTATGTGCTTTGAATACATCTTCATTAATCCTTACAATAATGGAAGGAGTTAGGTGCATATATGTACCTACATGTATATCCATATATCTATCTGTAGATGTGTGTATGTGCATATATGTATTCATATGTGTATATGCACAAGTATAAGTGCGTATACACACACACACGAATGTGTGGTCAGTTCTTCCCGGGCTCTCCAATCAGCTCCTCCAAACCTAGTTCCTGTCTTTATTTCCTCCAGCGTACAGAAATCTTGAACGTGCATGCATTTCTAGTTGAACATCCTAAACGGCCTGCTCTTCTCGCCTCTAGGGGGTGCTTTGGGGGATGAGAAGCTCAAGGATTGCAGACCTACCCAATACTGGGCTCCCCTGGGCTAAGATATAGTCCTGGTTCTCCCAGCTTCACCCGCCGCCGCGTCCCGGCTAAGTACCAGTCTCAGGGCGGCCGGATCCTCTCCTGGGTGACTCTGAAGTCCCAGTCACATCACCACCCAACCCCCCCTCCCCCGGCTCCGCCGGGTGGACCTGCCTGCGAGGGAAGAACGGCTGGGCTTGGGTTGAGCGAGCCCCGGGGCGGGGAAGGGGCAAATGGGACAGAAGGGGCTCTTCAAATCTGGGGCAGGGGAGAGGGGTGCCCTAGAGAGGGCAGGGGAACCTTGGTCTGGCGGGGTTCACTCACCTTATCAGGGCACTCGACGGCAGCCAGATCCCTGTTTCACTTTCAATTTCCTTCCAGCGGCAAGGCTGAAAAGAAAGGGGTGGAGAGTGGGCGGAGCAATGGGAGGAGCAAAGAATTTAAGGGGTTGTGGGGAGAAAAGAGGGGCGGGGCGAGAAAAGAAGAGGGCCGAGCGAGAAGGGAGGTGGGCGGGGGACAAGGCGGTGCGGGGCTTGGGGAGTTGCCTGGAGCTTCCGCCCCCGCCAGCTTCTCGGAAGTGGGACCCAGTGGCGACTCAGCGGCATGTTGTCCTAGCGGCGCGCTCCCTCCCCTGTATTCTTTTTCTGATTTCGTAGAATGCTGTAGCTGCAAGATTGGGGAGGCGATATCTTTTTCTTCGACACTGGTCATCGTCCGGTACCTAGATGCCATGTCCGTGTCTGGGAGCTGCTTTTAAGGAAGTTAGGAGGCAGAGGAGAGGGTCGGGTGCTCTCTCTCCGTGCCACCCTCTGCTTCCTACTTCCAGAAACGAATTGCTTCTCACATGCCTGGTGGAACATTCTTTTAACGTCTGGGGATGGGCGATTTACTTCGGATAATCCCAAGGCAGGCATCACACGAGTAAGGAGTCAAAACAGAATGGGTATTTATTAAGAATCAACTGTGTTCTTTTCACTGGGCTAGGGGCGTTCTCACGTTAAATAATTGTTTCTTATTTTTGATGTGGTAACATACCCAGAACATGAAATTTACTATCTTAATCATTTTTAAGTGTGCTGTCCAATGGCATGGAGTACTCTCACATTGTTGTGTAACTGTCATCACCATGCATCTCCAGAATTTGCTTTCTCAAACTAAGACTATACTCATTAAACAATAACTCCTCATTCCGTCCCCACAGTTCCAGGCCTCAGCACCCATCAATCGGTTTTCTTTCTCCATGAATTTGACTACGCTAGGTGCCTCAAATAAATAGAATTATAAAGCGTTTGTTCTTTTATGACTGTCTTTTTTCACTTAGGATAATGTTCTCAAGGCCCATCCATGTCATAGCATGTGTCAGAATTTCCTTCCTTGTGTGCACACCACATCTTGTTTATCTATTCACTTGTGGACAATTGGGTTGCTTCCACCTTTTAGCTATTGTGAATAATACTGCAACGCCAGATTATATTTTATGTAGACCACACAACAATTTGGTGACTTAGGGGTTTATTATACTTGTATTACAGGGGAGGACACTGAAGCTGAATGGAGTGAAGTGACTGGCTTGAGGTCACATAATAAGTGTAGGCATGACAGTTAAAGGTCCAGGGAAGACCCTCATTTTAGCGACATCCCAGAGAAAACAGATGCCCCGGCCAGTTCAAGCAGAAGCTGCAGGACAGCTGGTGGGGGTGTGGCCCTAAACTGCGGAGAAGAGGAAGGCTGGTGAGGCTAGAATTCTGTTTGTTCCAGCTCACGCATCCTATCTTTTTATTAATTTTTGTCCTGTATTATAACTTATGGTAAAAACATCAGCTGAACGTTCCTTGATATTTATTGTAGTTTTAGGAAACCTAAAGCCATTTCATGCTTTGAAATGACCATTTTTGCTTTTAAGAGAGTTTTGCTTAGTAAAAGGCTATCAGATGACATCTGATGTCAATATTGTGCGATTGTACTCATTTGATTCTAAGGATATGAACAGTCCCAGGAAGCAGAATGGAAACAGTTAAAAAATAAAAGTAAAAGGAAGAAGAGCTCTGTATCCGAATTTGGAGACACTCAGAAAATGATTATGCTTCACGTCACTGCAGACCCTTTGAGTAAGCCGTTGTTGGAAGGGATAGAGAAGAACATGGGTCTCATAAGAAGGTAGGTGTGGATTTAGTGGACTGTGCTATTTACTAGCTAGATGTCCATTTCTCTAAGCTTCAGTGTGTTCATTGATTAAACAGAGATATTAATACACATGCCACAGGGTTGTTTTGGTAGATACTCAATAATATGCACACAGCTTAACATAATATATGCATTGCTACTACACTTGCCACCTTGGTAGGCTATATGACCAAAGCTGCTACTAATTCCAAATTCCTTCAATTTAGTACTTCCATGTTCTTTTCCTGGTGAGATGACCTTAATCTTTATACCTGAAGGATCAGTGTCCTTAATGTTCCTAACACAGTCACTGTTAGTGAACAATGAGAAGGAAGAATCTTTCCAATGTATACCTTGGGTTTTAGGATAGTCATTATTGTCCCCATTGTGTACCAGCAACCAAATTCTCCTTGGTAATAGGGATAAGTATTCCAGCTAGCATAGAAGCACTGTTCACTGCTTATTTCTATAGTGACATAAGAAGCCCCAAATAGCCAAGAGATAGTTACACATTTCAATTTTCTAGGACCAGGTTTACTTTCCCTGGTGGGAGGACTTCTCCGTTCTTTACTAGAACTTCTTAACAAGGTGAGCCCTATTTTGAGGGATACCAAAAAAACATTCTGTAAATACATTATTAGTTTGACAGTGACCGGGCCACATCCGCTTTCCACCTTGCTTCACTAAAGAGTGTGTTAATACTGGATATATATTAAAAAAATGCAACCCTAAGATCATTCCAAAATTTATAGGATAACCCTCTGCCTAATCTCATAGGGTGATTTCTTAGTCCATTCTCTACTGCCATAACAAAATACCCTAGATTAGGTAATTGATAAACAACAGACATTTATTTATCACAGTTATGGAGGCTGGAAGTCCAAAAGCAAGGTGCTAGCAGATTTGGTGTCTGGTGAAAGCTTGCTTTCATCTTTAAAGATGGCACTTTATCATTGCGTTCCCCTATGGCAAAAGGGCAAAGGTAATCCCTCAGTTCTCTTTTATAAGGCTACCAATCCCATTCATAAGGGCAGAGCCTTCATGACCTAATCACCTTTCAAAGCCCATACCTCAATTCTATCACCGAGGGGGTTAGGTTTCTACATATGAATTTGGGTGGAACACAAACATTCAGACCATACCAGGTGGAATTTCCAAACTGGTTCCATACCTGTGCCTTCATCAGGCCATCCCACAGTTCTGCTGGACAGTTGCTTCTGGCTGATAGGGTACACGTGAGGCCAGTGAGTTTCACAGGACAATCCTATTATCAGTATTCTTTGTCTGTAAAACCAGTTCCTTGGTTGCAAGTCATATTGTTGGGATATTCTGATGCTGTAAGTTTAAAAATGGCAGTACTGGCAGAAGCAACATAGGAGGGGAAACAAATCTGTCTTTGGAATATTACCTATTTTGTGAGAATAAATTGTGGTTCAATGCAACAAACACGTCACAAGGAGACTCTCCAGACCCTTCTAGAAATGGTGAAAAATAAGGCCCAGAGTTGGCCTTTTAAGTACAAGTGCCCAGTGCAACAGGGATAGAGGCTCCCTCTGAGCTCCATGGCATCTTTCTCCTCACTGAGGCTTATTTTTTTTTTACCGCTACTGATATGGACACTTGTACATGAGCTCAGTAAACAAGTGGCTGGGACAGAGACTAGTGAACATCCACAGAGTGGGTCATCTTATCTTCCTGGTCATTGAGTGTCTTCTCTGCATTGAATGCCCTTTGGCAGATAATTGCATGGAGAAAAATATTTTCCTGTACCCTTTCCTTGAGGTTCAAAACACACTTCTACCCATAACACATTGCCATTAATCTTTCAATCTTACTACTATTTTTAACCCTTGACCCATAGACCAATCTGTTAGAAACAGTCAAAGTGACAGTATAGATATATATCATATACATAAACTCATCTTTTCTTCCAAGTGAAGTGGGCCACCAGTTACTGGAAGTTCTGTTCGCTGGGAAGATTTTTCTTCACTACTGCCTTTCAAGGGTGATCAGTATGGACACCAATCTTGTGTATTATCTCAGATTCTCTTAAATCTTTCTTTT